TGATAGTAATACAACAAAAAAAAAACCATCCTGAAACCAACAACAAAGAAAACAGATTGAGAGTCTCATTTTTATAGCATAGGTCTGCTTTGCATTAAGTACACCAGATCAGCATGAGTATTTCATATAAGCTTGAATTTCTTTGCCTTGGCAACCACTGAAGCACTGCCTTGGTGTTTATAAATCCTGAGAGAAAATCCAAACAAAAGTTCAGACTGCTGTGTTGTCTCCTCTACTTATTTATCTAATATGAATACAGGAATGTTACCCGTGTTTTTAAAAATAAAACTGTGAGAGATCAAAGAGCATCATAGGAAGACTGGATAAACGTTTATGGATTCCAGTTGAAGAATAGCTTATTCTCTTGACTACGTTTTAATAGAAAGCTTCTTTCATAGCATGGTTTTCAGCAGGGCTGAGGCCAGAGAACAGATCTGAACTGGTAGTGCACATAATAATAAGGAGCCAGTGGTTATTCTGTGACTTGAGGAGAGCAAGCATGATTTTACATGATGTGGGATCATAATTCACATCATGACAGTTCTACTATTGTTGAATATTTCTAAGCAGTTTGCATTGGAAGAAAGATTTACTGGTTTACATCCTCTGTAAATTTAAATTCTTTATTGCACAGTAAAGCTTTATTTCTTTATCTGTTATTGGTTATTTATTTTTCGCTGTTGGAATCGGTTGTGCCTTTTCTGTAAGAATTTGGTTCCTTGGTTTAAAAAAGAAGGCTGTAATCTTCTTGGGAAAGTCTGGAGCAAGGAAGACTTGTGCTCGGTAGGGGAGGATCAGGTGAAAATACAGAAAATTCTATTAAAACTTGAGAAAAGACTTTTTTACTGTGCGAGTGAGTAAACATAGAACTGGACATTCCTTGGCTTTTGGTAAAAATGGAAATGCCAAAATACAGCACTGGGTGAGGGGAAGCAGGTGCTGAGAGGTGCCTCCCATGCTATCCCCCTTCATAAAATTAAAATACAGTAATGTTACGGAGTGGTCCTGTAACTATATTACCAAATTCTCTAACTATATTACCAAATTGTAATGGTATTTGAATGGAAATTCCCATACTCTGCACTCTTTGGTCTCCATAATTAATATTTCATGTCTCCTGTTATTCACACCTTAGTTTCCTGTGCTGAAAGCACGTGCCAGGTCTTGCCCAGGTGAGTAGCTATACTGAAAAGACTTCTCAGACGACACCATCATATATTGACTGGGGACACCATTGGTATAATCTGTGTGGCAATTTGTATGTGACAAATTCTGCTTCCTTGCTGTGATTTTAGATTTTTTTTTTAAATAGAGTAATCAACTACCGGTAGATTTGGGTAAAATGAGTTACTTTCACTATAATCAGTAACCTGGTGGCGTTGAACTGGGATGATTATTAGTGAAGATACTTGGATCCATTGTTTTCTTACTCTATTTGGACGTTGAGTCCATAAACTTTTATGAGCTGTAGTTTAGATAATATTAGGAAATAGCTTGTCTGGAACTAAAATTATCTCATTGTTTGAAACAGGCAGGGACAGGTTTTGGTCTTTTTTGCATTAGTCTATTTGCTATAAAACAGATCTTATCTTTCAAGTATTATGGAACTGCGTGTTAAATTTCTGGTTCTATACGTGGAAATGCAGCAGATCTGGCTTCTTGATGTCAGTGGCTGCATGTGAGTACAATAATTAATGATGTAGCTCTTAAGAAGAGAGAGCTATGGAAAAAAATCTGAAGGAATGTTTCTGTTCTGTTGGGGTTCTTTAAAGAGATTCTCAGGTTCATCTGGGTGAGTATCTTTACGACTGTTAGAAATGTATTTCCTTTGACGTATTCCCGTCACAACTGGGGTTAACTGCGTTCTGGAGGCTGGGTGTAAATTCATTTATGCAGTAAATCAGTGGCAGAACAAGCCTACAATCCAGGTTTTCTGCATTATCCATCTACCTTGATTTCTGAGAATCTTATTGCTAGCCTTTCTGGATTTATATAGGTTTACAACCTAAGTGATGGAAGTTTCCTTCTTTTGGATAGCCTGAAGAAAACTGTTTACTTTGAAAAAGAGGGTGTACACTGTCAGCAAACTGACATGTGTTGCAGTCATGGATACCACTGGTGAAAGATAAGAGCACTTTCTTCACTGAGCTTTTTTCTCCACTAAAATAATATACTTAGTAACTTCTGGTCAGTTATAGTTAGGGAAGATTATGATTTCTGTACAGTTTTATTTGTGCAATACTTGGTAAAAATGTAATCTTGCTGAGGGTTGCTGAATCTCAGGGAAATCCTGTTCCCATGCAAAATGGTGCTCTCAGAAGAACAGTACTCAGTGTCACAGGCCCGCGGTTTTGGGCAGCCACCCTTAGTAGGAGCTCACACTGCATTCAGACCAGTTCATGCTGTTTGCACTGACAACGGACCAAGTGAGTACTCCACCCAAAAGCAGAGCTGAGGTCTTGGAGAGAACATTGCTGAGCAAAGGCAGGCAGGAAGGAGCTGGAATTTGATGTTCACAGTTATTGTTCAGCCCCACCATCTCCATCCCAAAGCCCCTAGATGTTCAAATTCAGGGCTTTGATTCCGGCTGACTTTTCACTGATGTTGGTTATTTTCAGGATAATATTTTTTGCTTTTTTCTTCTTCTGTCAAGAACTGTTAAAAGAATTCAGCTCTTTAAGAAGTGCCTCCCTTCTGCTATATATTTAAATGAGTTCTTGGCATAAGGAGGGGAGAAAATATTTCTAGCTATTAGAGTAGCTGTGTGAACTGGGAACACTTCCAACTTCTAGAAATATATTTAAGGGCTTCAAGAGGATCCAACTTTCCAAATAATTTTTACTCCTTTGCTAGGTCAGCTGTCAGTATTTGAAAAATAGGGTGGGACTATTGTCAATATTTAACAGCTCAACACAAATATTATTCTTCATACAATGTAAAAATAGTATATGAAATGCAAATCAAGTGCTTTATTCCATGGTTTGGTAGTAAGAGAAGCAAGTGATAAAAATCTCTCTTGCTTCCATACAAAGGCATGAAGAGGGGGAGGAAAATGTTGCCAGTGGTAACAGTCTTCCCTGCTGGGAAACAAACCAGTGAGATGCCTCACTCCTCCCTCCTAACGTCGTGTCCCAAGGAGGGATCTGTGATAGAAGTTTGTTGTGAAGAGTTTGAGCCAAACCAGCAAGGTATGACTGTTAATTCAGACCAGATTACCAGAGATGTCTTCAGTAACGGAGCTCCTCCTACCTCCAGTGGGGCATCACCAGGACCCTCGAACTGTTCTGCAGTCACATATTGCCATACCGGCACAAATGATTTCTGGAACTTGCCTTTTATTCAGATAAATTCCTCCCCAGAAGCCACCAGTTGGAATTAGCTTGCTGGATGGAGCAGCTTGCTCTCTCCGTGGTCACATGCAACACAACTATGGTATTATCCTCATTTAGAAAATCAAGATGTGGTGTAGTCCACATGAGGTGGGTTTAAAGAGTATCAGAAGTAGGCCTGGATGTCACTTCCCAATCCTGTGTTCCAAAATGGTTTCCCATGGTTTTAAATCTTTAGAAATATATCGCTATGTAAATGGTTTGACACAACAGCCAGGTGATAATGCGTTTTTAGCTGTAGGAGAGATATGGTGTAAGGTGGCTCAGCTCCAGCCATGCTCAGTGCCAACTGAGGTTACCTCTCAAGGAAGTACCAGCACGGCTCAGCTTGGCGTGCCTTAGCAATGTCCCCTCTGCTGCGAGCTGGATTAAGCCACCACCCACACAAAACAAAGGATAAGGAACAGAGCCAGTTTATTCAGGAGACCTTCAAATCTAGCATTGTTTTGAATTTGGCTTTGGTCCAGTGTAAAATGCATTTGTGCGTTCCTAGAGCTGTCCTGTGGAGAGGGCCCTGAGGTAGCAGGAAACAGCTCCGTCATTAGAGTTGTAGTTTGCCGGCTACTCGGCAAATGAGTGTGAGTAAATCCAGGAAGAAACACAAATAACAGTAAAACATTAGTACTCCATTTTGTCCCGTTCAGTCAGACTGCTCTGCATTAGTTAAAAACTAGTTCTTCCTCAAATCCTTTACTAGGATTGCTGCACTGTTCACCTGTTTCAGCTGTCATCCAGAAAAGCCATCCTCTGCACCACACAGGGCAGTGCTCCATTGAGAACGAGAAAGCTGAGCCACCTTGACTTACAGACCAAAGGAAAACTTCAGTGCACTTCCAGCACATCATGTTCCTGTACACTGGTTCCAGTCCCACTCTGTCTTAACTTTCTCATGAGTCACAGCAGAGCAAGGGTATGGTCTTTGCTCATGAAGTCCTTTGAGATCTAATGATAGATAGTACACATGTCTAAACAGTTAAGACCTTTCAGATTTAGGCAAACATTGCATCAGTCACAAATAGCTCATATAAATAGACAAACTTTTTTCATACTTTATTGTATGAAAAATCAAATATTCCCTCTCAACGAGTACAGGTTATGTGTTCACCTGAAGCAGCTGCACTGAAATTGCCCTTCAGCTTCTGTGAATCAACTTTGTCCAACCTTCTCTGATCCCAAACACCAAATCTAGCATTGCTAGACAGGACGAGAGTGTAAGTGATTGGGCCATTTAAACTGGGCTCTTCCAGACAAGGACTGAAACCCAGATGGCAGATAATTCTTAACACTTAAATCCTGTGTTGTAGTCACTCTGCTGAGCAGTACAACATTCCAGTCTAACGTTTTCTCTGTCTAGTAACTGACATATGTCTTGCAAGATTTGGTTATTTTAGTGTGGTCTGACTCCGTTACAGTAAGTCTATTGCAATTACTAGCAGCTACAGCTAAGAATACGAGGCTGTTCAAAGGAAAGAGGCTTGATATTAATTTTCATTAGTTTATTTCTGTAGGATTTTGTTATTTGAGAAAACAGAATAATAATTACTTCCTTCAGGAAATATTTGCAACCTTCGCAACTTTTATGTCGTGCACTAAGATAGCAAAGGTTGCTGTTCAAGTGTAGCCAATGAGCCGTGGGGTGCTGGGGAAGACTTTGCGCATATCCGTGCACTTGTTGTCGATGAAGAGGGAGTTTGTCTTCACAGAAATGTCATGTTCCAGCTTTGATTTGTTCATGTTCGGCATCTGCAGCATATCATGGGCTGCTTGCAGATGTTGCTTTAAGGTCTGTAAGGTGTCATCTATAGTGTAAGCCTCAGTGACAAGCCTGAAAAAGGAGAGAAGGGGACAGGTTGCTGATGGAACTTTAGCAGTCCCTCACCACATCTGGATTTTTAACCGTCAACAGGTCACACTTTCAGGCACGATTTGAAGAGCTGTCTTGGTCTGAACCAGTATGAAGCCTGTTTGCCAAACTAGCTTGCATAGCACCTACAAGAAGTGATGATTTCTTGCTTGTGTTGGCCTTCAAGAGCAGGTTAAGCCACTCTGCTTTGATACATCTTTCTAATTGTGATCATCTTCACATGCAGCCTCTCACACGTGTAGCCTGTCTGGGGCTAGCATGGCTGTGGGGAGCACGTGCACGTGGTCCTGCAGAACACGTTTGGGACGGATGTTACTGCAGTGTCTCGGTGCATTTCATGATAGCTTAAGCTTGTGCAGCAGGATTTGCTAAATGGTCTAGACTTGGTGTGGAAGTGTGTTAATCAGAACAAGACTCACTCGCCAGAACAACCATTGAATGTGGAGCTCTGAAATCAAGGTTTTCTGTGATTCTGTTAGCCACATTTCTCCCAGTGACTGAGTAATGGAGACGTGGCAGATCTTCTTGTACAGTCACTGAACCCACAACCTCTCTTTAGCACTGCCAACTTTGTGTTTTGTCTAATGTTCTATTAATGTTTCAGTGCACTATAGAATAGAAGAAAGATTGATTTTTCCAGAACCCACCTTAACTTGTTTTGGGATAGTCCCAGTTGCTTAAGCACAGAAAAACTAGACTCTATTAATTTGTTTTTTGTTTAATGCCTTCAACTACAAAGTTGGCAGCACACACAGAGAACAAGTGCCAATATCAGCACTTCCTTTTAAATAAATAGCGAACTCAGATAACATGTACATGTTACAAAGAAGTGGTTCATTTGATATTTCTTTCCCTATTACAGTTGAGCTATTGGGCTGAATTTCTTCTTGCTTTAAATCACATCAGAGAAATATGCTTAGCAAATTATTTAAAAGAAAAAAAATCCTTAAAAAGTGAATTAGCAAATGGTTTTACTTTCACAGATAGCATTTTGTCTCTAACAAAACATGTTCTGAGATGTGAGTTCACCCAAAAAACTGTGATAGAAAAAGGTGTCCAAATTTCAAATACTCTGTCAGAATTTTTATTTCTAATTGCCGTTATGAGGAACAATAACATTCAATGATTTGGATCAGGTAAAGCATCCAAAATAACCTGCTCTGGATTAGGGAACTGTGGTAGAGTAAAAATATGCATTGGAGGAAGGAGAATGGGAGATGCTAATTATCTGTCAACATAACTACATCTAGAAAACAGTGTACTTGTACAAATATTTTGGTTAAAATATTAGGAAACCTATTAGACTGACAGAAAACTTGTATTTTAAGCTTAAAATTCTTGTGCAACAGCTTGTGAAGCTCCTATATAACCTAGAAGCTAGCACAAATTAGATTGACTGAGAACCGCTGGGTACTCTGTGGTACTTTGTGCGCACCTCAAGTGCTGTGTTCAGGTCTGAGCCCCTCACTATAAGAAGGATGTTGAGATTCTGGAGCGTGTTCAGAGAAGAGCCACAAGGATGGTGAGGGGTCTGGAGAACAAGCCTTATGAGGAGCGGCTGAGGGAACTGGGCTTGTTTAGCCTGGAGAAGAGAAGGCTGAGGGGGGACCTCATCACCACCTACAACTACCTCAAGGGAGCTTGTAGAGAGGTGGGTGCTGGTCTTTTCTCCCAGGTGATGATGGATAGAACAAGGGGAAACGGCACCAAGCTGTGCCAAGGGAGGTTCAGGTTAGAGATAAGGAGGAAGTTCTTTACTGAGAGGGTCGTCAGAAGCTGGAACAGGCTGCCCAGGGAGGTGGTGGAGTCACCATCCCTGACTGTATTTAAAGAGCAGGTAGACGAGGTACTTAGGGATATGGTTTAGGGGGAAGACACGAACGGTTGGACATGATGATCTCAGAGGTCTTTTCCAACTGAGTGATTCTGTGATTCTGTGATTTAAGGATGTCACATCAGTGTCCTTATTCAAAGCCATTCTGGTGTTCCAGTGACATCAAATGAAGCTTCCAAACTTTTTTCGATAGGACCCTTTGGAACATTAACAGGATCACTAGGAATTGTGGGAAGGAGAAGGGATAATGTGGCACTTTGCTTCAGTACAGTTTTGATCCTAAAGCAGTTAAGGTTTTTAACTTGGACGCGTGCAATCCTGCTGACTGGACTGATACCAATCACAGTGCTGCAGACATTGGTGGGGAAGAGATCTTCAGGGAGGAAGTAGGAAGAAAACAGGGCTCAGAGTATAAGACTGCAGTTGTGTATTAATATTTAGGGCCATCTTGTTTGTTTGTGGGTTTTTTAATAAAGTGTGGCTATTGGTTATTCGCATACCTAGTTGATGGTGTGGTGGTAACCGAAGTGGCAAATGATCTGCTCCCCTACTAAATGTAACTGGTAAGTGAGTGCTGCAGCATGATCAGAAGTTTTTCTGGTTTCTCACAGCTGAACTCCTGCGTGATTAACGTGGTATGAAAAGCCATGTGGATAAAGGGATCCAAATGGATAGAAAAGAATTTAGATCCAAAACAATATTGTGTCACAGAACGGATGTGGAGAGCAGATTGTGAAGCTAAAGAAATCTAATATATGGTTACATCAAAGGAAAGTCAAGATCCTTTTAAAGGAGGTGTGAGGCTGAAAAAAAGATACATTGCATTGTACAATTTCTGGTTTAAGGAGTTGGGGAAAGGGAAAAGATACCAGTGAAATAAACTATGGTTTATTGCCCCTTCCTTTTTTGAGTAGAAGCTTTTTGAGCTGATAAAGCACCATTTAGGAAAATATAAATACAATATAAATACTCAGTTTAAAGCATTATGTACTTCATTAATCTCATCTCATGTGAAGCTGTTGTATACATTGGGATTTTGCTAGAGACAAAAATAAAAAGGGAATAGTTTTCTACTTTTCATAAAAATATGCGAAATTCTCTTACTGGACTGTGAAATTCAGCTATGGAAGGAACCCTGGTGCAGGATTTATTGAGAAAACCTCCACAGATTAATTTGAGGACAGGATTTTAAATAAGATGTACTCAGTAGGGTACAGCTGGAACACTGATGTACTCCAACTGGAGTGGAGGGAGAGAAATGGGATTAAAATTAAGAAGATCCTTCTTCAGTCATTGGGGAAGTCAGGCAAGTGTCTCAGGCATCTTGTATGTCCAGGAAGACACAGTATATGTATGTGTGTGTATGTGCCCACACTATACAATGGATCATAGCACAGGGATCACCAAACTGATGCCAGCATGTGCTGGGAAGCCCCCACATCTATATCACAAAAATGAGAGCCAAATGAGCTGACCTGTGCAAAGATGATACTGGAGTCGCTATATAATGCAAAATTAGTTGAGGCAGTAAGAGATGCTGCTTCATTCTTATTTTCAGTTAACTTTTTAAGGAGCTTGAGCATTATATCATTTTTTGCATCAAAAGATAATTTTTGTCTGGAATAACATGTTTCTAAAATCAGGTGTTTCCTAAAGTGAAACACTGTGTTTCATACAGAATGCAATTAAAACCAATGCCTAAGTCCCAACTCAGGCATGACACTGAATCCCAAAAGATATCAGCCACCAACAAGCAACTGAGCTCTTGACTGTCCTGGAAGAGGGACTCTAAACCCAACAATACACATTGAACATCAGATGGTTTGATCCATTATTTCAACATAGCTACTTGGATTTTTAGTTCTTTCTTCAAGACTTTGTATCGCAGTATAATGAATGCAGTCCTAATCTCACCAAACTAATTCACACTCACATTAAATTCCCTGTCCTTGAGTGGCTGTTGAAGAAACAGAGTAGTCTGGCCTTTACTTACTGAGCATGAGGTGCGTCTCGGCAAAGCTCGATATTGGGTTGCCTGGTTCGTCCCGCCAAGCGGGTCTGAGCCACCTTCAGTTGGTACTCCTTTGCCTTTATGGACCTCTCTAGCAACACGACCAGATCTTCTGTCTTGAAGATTTCCTGAAGGATCTGAACAAAGCAGAACGTTTTTGTGAGTCTCACATGCATCCAAAACCAGAACTCGCCCCCACTTTGAAATGCTCCTATTGGAACTGCTTCCATCCTGGCATATGAGTTTGTTTAATTTAGGGGAGGCGATTGCTACAAGCTCACATCAATCAGATGGATTTGTGTAATGTTGACTTGATCTTGCCATTTCTTTACAAGGACATAGGGCAATCAAATCTCCTGGGAGAGCCAGAAGGAGGGGGCTGTACACTCATACATCACATATTAATGAAGTTGTTCCTAGAAAACAGGTGAGCAGCTTCCACTAAGAATTGCACCATCTCTTTCCTGTTATAAAAATAAGACATTCATAGGCAAATTGGAATATGAATTTATTACAAGCAGAAGAGAAGCACTGTATTATTGTGACAGGGGAAATTCCAACAGTGTTAACTGCGTTGTGATCAAGCTATTTTCGTAGAGGCAATGTTTATAGCTCTACTTATTTCCATTTCGCTTCATTATGTAATTTCTTTCCTAAATTAAAAAATTCTGCTGCGAAGATCTTGATCTTTGCAAAGGTAAAATTCCAGTAACCTGCCATTTTCATTTAAGCCTTCGTTCAATTCGTGTTTCCTTTTGCCTCATAAAAAATTCAAAAGCAATCAAATATGCCTTCTCTGAATTGTACTACGTGTTTTTTGGGGACATTTGCTGTAAGAACGTATGAACACAAGTCATATTTTCATACTGAAACTAAATTCTCAAAGTTCTGAAAACTCCACTGGGAGCTGTAGAGGGAAGGCCAAATTCCTTTAAAGGCTCGTTTTCTCTAAATGGAGGTGATGTTGAGCTGAAACATCACCAGAAAGGAGAGGCCCATGGGATTCGTATAGCGTAGTTTTTAGTTGCAGTGTATGTTATAGTCAAATTATCCCTCAGAATCTTCTACCTACTTCTTGTGTGTTTTAATCTGTATGGAAAATAAAATAAGAGAAATTGCAAGGGAAAGGTTTTGCTCATTCTTAAAGAAGGAAGGCAGAAAAAGTTTATATTCAGGTAACATTTCCCGGCCAGTTGATTATAATGTTTCTTTCATTTATCTGGATTCGTTACAGCCGATGTGGTGAACCTGTTCAAGCTCTTCCTACAGACAGTTTTAAAAAGGAAGACAACAAGTGGAGTTAATGTCGTTTCTCAGCCAGTCTGCTAAAATCAATGAAACTGGAATTTCAACAACCACTACAAACGGCACAATGCAACTGAAATTATGTTACTGTTTAGATCTTGTCTACACACCAAATTGTGACAGGTTTGCTAATGATGTGTGCGCTTTGAAAATTCCTGCTGAAGGGTTATTTATAGACAAAACCCAAGGAGTTAAGGATGCCAGCAACTTGCACCCCAGTCCAAATCCTTAAGGGCTTGTCGACATATGGCCGAGCATGTAGTAGAGCGCATAGTAGATCTCCTGGCTAGCACTGTCCAAACCAGTTCAACCCCTACAGCAAAGCAGTTTTCCAATAGATGAAGCATCTTGGACGCTGAAGCAGCAGCAGCATCTGAACATGACTGTACTGATGTGAATTCAGGTCTCTGCGTGCTACTGAGCCCTTCGGGTGCAAGGTTTCTGCTCACAGAGCTATGGAGGGATTACAGTATGGGAGAAAGTGAAGCCAACAGTAGTAAATTTCTTCCTATAATTGTATCCTGCAGTGGTTCCTTCTTACTTAGATGATCACTGAAAGCTGGCTGTGTCTTACTGAGAACATTAATGCAGGGAATCCAGTGCACTTTGGTAGCTATTTGTTTTGCAGAGGAACCTCTTATGATAAGATTGCATTATTAGATACATCATTTTACGACTTGTCTACTTTTTTTACTTTCTACACACACTTACTTCAGTAGATAAAAACCAAGAGGAAGAGACTTAATGAAGTGAAATGCCTTCATTATGCATCAAGCCCACATCCTTCCTTTTCCCTGAAAACACCGAGGATTTGGGTCTTCTGCTGCTCAGAAGCAGAATTTGAGTAGTTTGTGCTGTTGTCAGAACGTTGTTATTCACAACCTCCCTCCGAGAATCTGTCGTGTGTTCGTCTGCCCGTGACAAAAGTGAGGTCTCACTTCTGGGCAGGCTGCTGGGAGTTAAGCAGATGCATGTCGGGGAGTGTCAAAAGCCTTTCCTTTGCTCCCACTGTTCTCCTTCACTGCTAACCAAAAGCTTCAACCTGTGGGGATGTGCCAAGGCTGTGAGGCAAAGCATACGCCATGCTTTGAGAGGTCACCCGCTGCAGAGCAGGGCCCTCCTTTCCTGTGTTTATGTTACAGTTGCTGTCACTGCAGCAGTGTTTCCCGTGATATGCGTTACCGTTACCGCGGGCACGAGAGCCAAAGCCGCTGTGGCGTACTTCTGTTACCTGCAGTGGGGTGTGGTGACGGTGTTGGCCTCTCCTGCTAATTCTACTTGGTATCTGGAGCAAATTGTAAGCAGATTTATTTCTTTTTATTAAAATGTATAATTCAAAGTCAAAACAGTGAAACAGAGCAGAGTGTATCTGAGCCCACTAAGAACTGGGCAAAGCTGTGTCTCAGTTTCAGAAAGGACTGAGTGGGTTGTTTGTTTCCTACTTATGGTGGAGCAGAGGATTTGCACTCTCAGTTCAGATTCTGGGTAGGAGCTTTGTGATTCAGCCTTTGAGCTTTATTGGTAGTAACACTGTCTGTCTTGGGCAATTAAAGCAGCCCAGAGCACTTGGTTAGAAAGGAACCATGGCTGTGAAACCAGCTCCCCAGAGCAATGCCACAGTCTACAAACGTGCTTGTGTTGTGGTGAGCACGTAATGTAGTCACCATGCTGATACTTTCTGTCCTGTGAATATGTGAATCGAAACAATTTAATTTAGGTTACAAGCTTACACTTAATTAGTGCTAATTCTTCTAATCAGGTTAGAAAAGAGGATGAAATTAATATTTTCTGCGAGAAAATGTGTTCATGCCCTCTCTTTCTTTGAAAGCAGTACAGGGATCTTGTGTTTATTCCACACATGGAAGGCAAGCAGGAAGCTATCAAGGGAGATGCAGTATGTGCACAGAAACGTGCTGCAGTGGACTGCAAGTGTCACACAAATTTATGAGGGCCCTGGAAGAAATTTAGTTGCCTGTGGCAAACCATGGTCATTCCAGTACTACATGACAGTGCTGCTGTCATGGTTGAGTGCCCTTTACTCTTTCATTCTGCTTGAGTGAAAAAATAAACTGCATCTTGGATGTTTTTTAAGATGCAGAAGGAACAAGCTGATGCCAGTACAGGCAGTGTTGAGCAGATTGCCCGTGTATAAGCTGTCCTCAGTCTTTTGGAAAGGCTGTTTTCATCAAGCTCAGCTAGCAGAAGAACTTTCAAAGAGTGGTTTTCTGAACCCACACTTTTCTCTCTGTTTTTAAGTGTGTGAATTGTTGGTAACCATCAAACCTGAGCTTTACAGCACTGCTGTGCTGTCAGACAGCACCTGGCTGGGCCAGGACACAGGAGTTCCCTCCGTGACACAGAAGCAGGAGCCTGTATTGTCCTCTCTTTTTAGAATACGAAGTCATGTATGTACTGCTCCCATAAATAATGGCATTTAACTGATACAGGACAACAGTTGTCTTGTATCGGATGGGACAGGCCTTTGAGCAGCCTGGTCTGGTGGGAGGTGTCCCTGCCCATGGCTGGGGGAGCTTTAAGGTCTCTTCTAACCTAAACTATTCTATAAAGTTATGACTCAGGGTTTTTAGAGCTTGCACAGCCTGCAAATTCGCACAGTGTTAATGTTAGAAAAGGGCAGACTCTGAGGTCTAAATAGAAAATGTTTCTCTCTGTCCAGAAGCCAGTAGTTCATTAGTCATGAAAAGAGAGCTTTTAGATAAAAGGCACTGAAAACTCAGTTTCATGTCCAGCCCTTATAACATTTTGTGCCAGCACAGTGTGCAGTAACCACACTCTTGTGCCACCTGACTTCACTGGGTGCTCTGGGGTCCTGCTCATACAGGTAGGAGTAGCCTGCAAGTACACTATGCACAATCAAGGCAATTGATTACAGCTACTGAGCAAACCCTTCATTCATTTGCTAAAGAAAATTATTGCTTAAACCTGCCTGTGAACTCAAAATTCAGACGTGAAACTACACATCCTTCTTCAAGCTGTGCTTGGCTGCATGTAAGTAGGAGCAGTTTAGGTTCATTGTGCGTTCTCAAATTTTCTCTTACTTTTTTTTTTTGCAGCACTGTCATTTGAGACATACAAAGAAAAATGGCCTCGGGGAAATCACCTCCAACACATCACAGAGGCTTTGTACAAACAGTTTTTGATTCCTCATTCTGGCCGCACATTGGATAAAACTATTTAGGTAATTTGCTATACACAAAGGGATTGGTGAGGAGGATCACCAGACAGCGTTGCACCAGTCCACGTCATTTCTGGATGACCTCCAAAGGCAGGAAGCAAAAACAACCAATGCTGAGTGGCGCATTCCTGAGGGGGCGGCTCAGGCAGCTCCCAACCGGAAACTTCCCCTTCCAGGACATGAGTAAAGTTTTGTCCTGCAGCACAGCTTGTAGAAAACTGCACTCCCACTGTTCTCTCACTTCAGCAAGGCCATGATTTTCATCAGCTGGGTACAGTAAGACCAGGAGAAAAAGTTGCTACAGTTTCATCGTGTAATTAGGGTAGTCTTATGTACAACGTAAGCATTTTTAAAAGCTACAGTCTGATTGCTAGCCCTGTTCCTTTGTTGTTTCCAAGGTTTGCTGAGTGTTTAGTATCCAAATACAAAAAGCAGCAGCAAGGTAATATGGTGGGAGGAACATTTGACTTCTCCTCCTTTTGGAAATTTCTTTATATTTTGCCTCTCAGTTTTTTAATTTTTTTTTAATCCATGTTTCCATATATCATCCAAATTAATTTGTAAAAGTTACATTTGTTGAGGTTATCTTACTTAATTGGAGTAATACTGCAATTGTGACTGATTTCACAACTAATT